AAAGGCCGGCGGGGAGAAAGCCCTCCGATGGCAGGGTCCGGCGTCGCAAAGAAGCACACCCATTTGCACTTGTCCGTTGTCCCCCACTCCCACCCTCTCCGCCAGGAGACCGCAGAGCACCTCCGGCCGGGGGATAGTCACCACCGGGCACACACCCCGCCAGCCTGGCCCTCGGCCAAGAAGTCGCAATCCAACATGCTCGACAGCAGGCCCGGGACGCAGACACACCGCACGCGGATTGCCCCCCTTTTCCGGGCAATATTCAGGCTCTTTTTAAATTCCTTTTCTTGCCGGTCCGGAGGATTGCTCGCCACCGAGGCTTGCCCGCGGCGCACAGTCCCCGGGAGCTGCTTCTGGAGATCCATTCGCGGGGGTGGCGATCCCCACCAGCCCAGGCGCCCGCCCCGGCCCTCGCTGCCTGTGTAGGGTCGATCTTACTGGCCCCCGGGCGCCGAGGGAAAAACCTCCCCTCCAAATGCATCACATGTCCCGTCATCACACCACCACGATATCGCATCATCCCCTACCCCACAATGTATGTTTTGAGTGAGTCAAAACATGAGTTCATCCTGCCGACACGGCCCCCTCGGTGTGCCCGGTTGGCCGCAGGAAAAGGAGGGGTGACCCGGCCAGGCCGCCGGCCGGCTCCCCCGGGGCCCCGGCAACTCGATGGGCCAGGAATGCGTCGGTATTCCTCGCGCGCGATGCGCCCACGATCCCAAATTAACCCGAGCGCCAAGGCACAGGCGCCTGCCCTCGGACACGTCCCGCCCCCCACCCCCTGGCCGCCTGTTGTCGTGTGGGGCCTGCCTCCTCGACCGGCCACCCTGAAGGGGTGGGCGGAGCGCAGAGAGGTGACAATTCTTCTTCCCCATCCCTAGGCCCCCCCCCCGCGGCATGCCACGCCACGAGGCGGGCTGTGTGCGCTCGGCGTAATCGCTCCCCCCCCCCCCCCCCCCCCCCCCCCCGGGGGGGGGGGGCCCGGGGGGGGGGGGGGGGGGGGGGGGGGGGGGGGGACTGGCTCTTCGGCGAGCCGTATGGGCAAGAGGAGCCCCATGGCCCTGCGCCATTGGCCTTCCCCACCTTCGATACTCAGACTCCCCTCGCCCCACCTCCCCGCTCGCGCCGCGCCTTCGTGTGCGCTCAAGCCCCTGCTGCCGCGGCAGGCACCCCTCGAGGAGCATCCACTCTTGGAGTTGGCGCCCCTCCCCTTCGCCCTTCCCCCGCTCGATCTGCTCACTCGGCTGCCCTGCCCGTAGCTGGCCCGCGATCTCCGCCCCTCCGAGCGCCCCAATGGAATACACCAACTTCCGGGATCACCACATCGGAGGGTTTGTCTTCTCCCTGCCGGAACGGCTGGAGCCGGCCCAGCTCATCGGGTCCGGAGTCTGTGGGGCCATATGGTGCGCCGAGCTCTTTCTGTGCACGCACCTCCCCCCCCCCCCTGTCCGTGGGCCCGTCTTCTTCTATGGCCATAGTGCGCCTCGCTAACGCTCCATCCTGCGGCGGGTGGGCCCGCGCACGACAGCTCGGCCCAGGAGAAGGACTCCCACTCGTGGGTGGCCATCAAAATGCTCAACCGCGACAACCCCCTCATTGAGGAGATCTCTCCGGAGGTCACGCCAGAGGCCTTTGAAGACAACCAGCGCAAGTACCTCCGACAGCTGTACCGCGAGCTGACCATCATGAAGTATATGCAGCATGAGAATGTGCGCCCCGCCATGATGCTTGCCATCTGGCACCGCCTCGTCCCGGCGGCAGCCGACCACCTTCGGCGCACATCCCCTGTGGCTTACCCTCCCCCGCCCCCGCCCCCGCCCTGTGTCGCGCCATCCAGATCGTGGCCCTCTTGGGAAGCTTCATCGATCCGCAGGATAACATGTGCGCTCGGTCCTCGGTGGCTGCGCCAGGGCCTCCTGCTCCCGCGCCGGTTCCCCATATGATTGCTGCTTGCTGACGCTTCGTCGACCCCCCCCCCCCCCCCTCCCAGATACCTGGTCCAGGAGCTCATGAGCGCCGACCTCTCCCAGGTATTGGAGGCCCGATCACTGACGACCACGCACATCCGATACTTCGCGTATCAGCTCCTCCGCGGGCTGAAGGTACGAGCGCACGCCAGCACGCCAGCACCCTGCCCCGATGTGCGCCTGGGGCACTCACTCGGCGCCTCCCTCTACCACGTGCCCGGTTCTCTGCCCCCCCCCCCCCCTCCCCCTTCGCCTCGCACCCGAGAACAGTATATGCACTCGGCTGGCATTGTACACCGGGACCTTAAGCCCTCGAACATCATGATCAACGAGCAGTGCGATCTGAAAGTGCGCCCCTGCCCCTGCCGCTCGCCCCTCGCCCCTCCGGCCGCGATGTTGGCTGCTCGCATGCCGCCTCTCACCCACGCGCCCCCCGGGACTCGCCAGATCATCGACTTCGGCCTGGCCCGCTTCAACCCCAACACCCTGGACCCGGGGGATCTGAGCTCCTCGCGGGAGGTGCTTTTCCCCGATTCGCAAAACCCCCTTCTCATGACGGAATACGTGACAACCCGGTACTACCGGGCACCGGAGATTCTCTTCCACTATCCTCACTACTGCCAAGCAGGTTCGCCAAGCGCCGCTCCGCGCGATGCGCATGTCGCCTTGCCGGCTCCGCCCCCGCACTTACCCCCTGCCACACGCCTCCCCGCCAGCCGACGTCTGGAGTGCCGGGTGCATCATCGCCGAGATGATCATTCGGCAGGTGCTCTTCCCCGGAGGCAATCGTGCGTCTGGCAACGCCCCTACCCTGGGCCTGCCCCCAGATGGCACGCGCGTCGTGGGGGGAGGGGAAGAGGCGAGGAGAGGAAGAGAGGGGGGAGGCAGAGGAGAGGCGGGGTACTCGTGCAATGTCTGCGATGCTGCAACGCTCACCGGCCATCTTGCGCCCCAGCCATCGAGATGGTCCAGCTCTGGTCGACGCTCCTCGGGCCGCCAGGAGACGAGTTCTTGGAAACCATCGGCTGCTCTAATGTACTTCCCGGGCCCCGCCCAGCACCTGCACATGGCTATGCCCCCCCCCCCCCCCCCCCCCCCCCCCCC